TTCTCACAAGTGAAGATATATTTAGATTCTTATCCACAATGAGACCTGAAGATTGGAGCAATTCAATGTACAAAGCACATCCATAAAATTACATGCAAGAAAAATGTTAACTGCATAAAAACCTGTAAAGAATTACAAAGTTACTACCAGACAGCAAGAAGTAACTAATTCCAGTTGCACTATTAAAACAATGTTCCACGACTAAGAAGCACTTGCCAGTACTATGCCTTTTTGAGAAATATGGAACTTTTTTCCCCACCCCAAACACAACTTCTCACTTAAAAGTCACAGTACCTGTGAAATCAGGAATGCAGAGATGCAAATATCTGTACTGCATCCTTAACCTTAAAAGCTCAGTATGATTCCAGTTCATTGTTTAAAATCTCTTAGATACCAGATGACACAGCAAAAAAAGTGTGCATACTGAATTAAAAACCCACAAATTGCATTTGTTAATCTGTATTTAATTTGATATAGTCAGGATCATATTCAGGTGCTGTAATTGGTCACTGAATCTGTAGACCAGAAAAATAACAAATGGCTCCGTATTTTAAAACTTCTTATTTTCACTTGCAGAAATAGTATTAGCTGCATCAAACGGCCTCGGCAATGGAATATGGGTACTGTCTGTTACTCTCTCTCGTGCAAGGTCCGACACCAGCCTGAAAAAGCAGAAATGCATAGCGCTGCCGCTGTAGGGTGCGGTGGACATGAGAGAGAGTCAGGGGAAGGAGAGGACATGCACACTTTTTACTATAGCTGCCACGTTCAGGGCAATTTTCAAGGATCTCAAAATCTTTGAAATGAACGAATGTGGGCATTTGGAGCTGGTCAAGACAAAGGCAAGAGCAGGCAGTCAAAACAGGTCTGGTGAGAGGGGAGTTCGGTGCAGTCAGGCTATGAGGGGGTGTGGTCATGTCTGTTCAGTAGTGGGTGGTGGTGTCGGATGCTTGGGGTGGGTGATTGAAGTGGCAGGGGTGGCGAGTTGAGTTACACTGACTAATCAGAGGCACACCATATTACCACAATGAGTTCAGGGTTGGATACATTTTTCAGCAAGTCCCAAGTTGTGGAAAATCAATCCATCCAAAAGCTTAAAATTTCTCAGGTAATTTCTGCAAATACATCTTTGAGTCAGGACTTCCACAGGCTCCTGACATTTCCAAACATTTATCCAATCTCTAATGATCTGCAGACAGAAGATTTGGATCAATGCTAACACATGATATTCCAAAACACACCCAAGTCTGAATTATTGACAATCGCAGTGAGGCTAAAAGCGAAATGCAATATTATTAGAAGAATTCTTGAAGAACAAACCTTCTGGAATTGAACATTCCATTCACTTGGAAAAATATTCTTCATGCTAATAGACTGCAAGGTAGTATGTTACAGTCCAAATGTCCTAAATAATGTGCTTCATCTGGAACTACTTTTAAAATGGAAAGCCTGGACACAATTAAGTCAGCAGCAAGTATTGCTGAACACAAGTAAAACTACCATCGTTTTCAGTGCTCAATTTCTCCACAACAAAATCAGTGACAGTTTTGAATTCTAAATTATTTTTAAATATTTAAAAATAAAAGACTTAATTTAAGCATGTTAACTAAATCAGCACCAAGCATAATAATCTTTGCGAAGAGTCACAATAGCACTGTAAGTAACTTAAGTTTTTCACCCATACCAAATTAGCAAATCTCAGCTGAGGCAGTGGCCAGGGTGCCTGCAGCCTCAAGACAAGGAAGGAAGAAAGAAAGATATTCCAAAGCTTTGATCATCACCTGATGACCCCTGCTGGAAGCTTGTTTATGTCAGCATCAGTACAGATTCAGGTCATAGAGTGCCCTTCAGTCCAACAAACAAACAAACAAAAACAAAAACAAACGACTATTCAAGGTACCAGGGTGGCCACACATGCAGAACTGCACTGGGAACTTGCAGAACAAAAAAGTGGGAGAAAAAAAACATTCCCACTGATTGTGTCAAAGTTTCTTTTCACAGTGCAACAGCCAACAAGAAATACTTATCCTATTACAATTCTCATTGAGGCTGATAACTTTCAAAACAATTCCAATTTACAGCGACCATCTAAAAAGAATCACAAGATTTCACATTTTTAAATGTGGATTGCAATAAACTAAAATGTACACACTGTCCAAGCACAATTTAGTATACAACTTGTACGTTAAAACAGCAAAGTCTTTTTGTAATTTAGTTTTAGAGAAAAAACAACTCACCACTGCCCCTTGCGGACACATTATTCTCCCAGAGCCAGTCCAAAGCTATCCTCCACTCCCGATACCAGCTTTCTTTTCTCTTACTCAGCCGAGTAACTTCTAATCCCCAGAACTGACTTGCATTACGAAGGTCACATTGGTGATTCTTTCCGTGTCCCAGGCTTGGCAAATCTTCTAGTCTCCTTTAAGTGTTTATGCACATCATCTCTTCAATCTGAACATAAACTCCCACCCATGTACTGTGTGGCGAACAATAGGATCAGCCCTTGCTTTGATTAAAGCGTAGATCTGGCTGCTTTTATTTCCCTGCTCTCTCCCTCTCTCAGGTTCCAGCAGACTCATAGCTCTATGATAAGAGCAGCTGTACTGACAATGCATTATCCACAAGTGTGACCACAACGTACCTGCACAGGGAGGTACATGGCAACCAAACCATCCAAGACGGTACAGAATCCACATAACCCCTTCACTGTTCAATTTCACCCTAAAAACACAACAAGCTGACAAACTATCTGTCCCACTATTAGTGATTTTATTCACATGACAGGCCATTTCAAACAGCAGACATATTTTAATTTGTAGACATTTCTTCCCCCAAAATTAAGTGCCAAATGTGCAGTTGATCCACATTTAGCACAGTATTCCTTAAAAGCAAAACATAGCATTATAATTTGCCTAAATGCTTTTCACAGTATGGTACAATGAATTCAGATCTTTAAATGAGGTCCGTCTATCCAGCAAGGAATATGTTCCGTTTATAGTCAAATAACTCTTTTCATCGAGTTATCAGAAAGGTGCTGAACTGGTTACAACTAAGTTAAGCACCATCTTTTGCAAAATCTAGAGCACAACACACCAATCACCCATCATTCTGTTTGCAATACACAGAATCTCTTTTCCAATGTCAATTATATCTTGTAAGCATTCATATTTTAATCGCCTGTGTAACAATGTTAAATCTCCTCTCTCCATTTGTGAATGGATGATACCAGTCCAACCTCTATTGACACAGGTCTGAAAATAAATAGAAACAATCCACTACAGCTTTAAAAGGAAACTTGGCCATACCTTTGGCAAATGGTTTATTTTTGTTATGGGCAGATTTCACCAGCATAACCTCTTGTTCTTTGTATCAGTCCAGATGATCATTATAAACCAACCATTTTTGAAGATTGCCCAAATTGTAGGCAATACTTCAACTATTTAAGAAAAGAAGTTGCTGGCAAAAACTCAGGTTTGGCAGCATTCATGGAGAGAAAGCAGAGTTAACATTGATTCCAATGGCCCTTCAGTTCTGCTTAACTCTTTCTCTCGAGTAATTTCTGTTTGCTTCCGATTTCCAGCATCTGCAATCCTTTTGGTTTTCTTGTTTAATACTTCAACTATAGCCTAATCATCACCTGGATGACTGCTGACTGTACATGCTCATTGAATATTTCTGACTGTGCACACACACAGGCTTGGCCGGTGTTAAGCTAATTTTTAAAATTAAAAATTCAATTAAACAACTTCTCTTACCCAATATATTGTCAATTTTTTATAAAAAATTAGTGTTTGTCACCTAATTTAGAAATTTACAAATGATAAATAAACTGCTCATGCACATGCTCCTGGTGTCAGTAAGTCCAATCTTTATCAAATCGAGTCACAATAAATCATTGGTCCTTTTTGTACATTACTTGCATTTCCCCCACCCACATTGCACCCCCCACCCCCAAACAAAAAGAGCAAGAATCTGTACAATGGCTACACAGAAGATGCCCACAATGAAAATATTCCTTTACTTAAAGTCACACAGCACAGAAAGAGACCATTTGGTCCAACTAGTCCACGCCAACAGGCGTTCCCAAACTAAACTAGTCCCACCTGCCTTCAATTGGCCCACATCCCTCCAAACCTTTCCTGTTCATGAACTTGCCCAAAAGTCTTTACAACCTTGTATCTGTACCTCCATCTACCACTTTTTCCAGCAGTTCATTCCACGCACGAACCACTAAAAAAATCTTTCTCCTCTCACCTTAAAAATGTGTCCCCTAGTTTTGAACTTCCCCACCCTAGGGAAAAGGCCCTTGTCATTCATCTTATCTATGCCCCTCATGATTTTATAAACCTCCAAGGTCACCCCTCAACCTCCTACATTCTAGTGGAAACAAATCCCAGTCTTTTTACTTTTGTTTATATCTCAAACCCTCCATTCCCAGCAAGATCTGGTAAATTCCTTCCGAACCCTCTCCCAGTTTAATAATATCCTTCCCATAACAGGGTAAGCAGAACTGCATACAGTACTCCAGAGGAGGCCTCACCAACGTCCTATTTAATTTCAACATGACATCCCAACTCCTATACTCAAAAGGAGCGAGCAATGAAGGCAAGCATGCTAAACACCTTCTTAACCACCCTGTCTACGTATAATGCAAATTTCAAAGAGTTATGTACCTGAACCCCACGTCTTGTTCTACAACACTCCCCATGCCCTACCATTAACAAGTCCTGTCCTTGTTTGTATTACCAAAATGCAATAAACTTGCAATTATCGAAATTAAACTCCATCTGCCACCATTCAGCCCATTGGCCAAACTGATCAAGATCTCTTTGTAATCTTAGATAATGTTTTTCACTGTCCACTATACCACAAACTTACTAATCATGCCTTTTATATAAATGACTTGGAGGAGGATACAGATGACAAACAAATGTGGACAGTACTGATCCCTGTGGAACACAGCTGGTCACAGGCCTCCATTCCTTCTCAAGAATACATACCTCCCGATACAGGCGCATCCATGAACGTTGCTCCAATCTTTTCTGCAGCTTTGGCCATTTCTTTAGAAACAGCTGGATCGATGGTGCTCGAATCAATTAGCAATGAGCCTTTCTTAACTTGTCTGCAAAGCAAATATGGAAAGCTAGCTCAAAATCACCAGGTTATAAACTACTGGACAACTGATTCACCAGGAACAAAAACATTACCCTCCGAGCAACAAAATCAACAATACAAATCAAAACTGTAAATTAGGTCAAAACCTGTTCTCACACACGGGCGCACACAAAACATCCCCCAAATTGCCAGAAGATGGCAACTCAGATGGGGTTTTAATAGCATTAATTGGACTTCATGGTTACCTAAAAAATCCTGTGGAAGATCAGAAAAAAGAAAGCATCACAGCACAGCTGAACCTGATCCTAACTTCCACACTTTCCAGTAAAGATCACATAACCTGCATATGCCTTTGTCAAAGCCTTCTTGCAATCTGATCTTGTCACATTACTAATTGACACACATTGTTCTAGCCATAGAACTGAAATCTGGCAAAATTATATGCTTAAGAGGAAAGATAAAAATCAAGGAACTGGAGTTCACCAATAATTGTCACAAAATGTACTTTTTAAAAACAAAATGCAACAAAGAATTTAAACTTGGCAGGATTAATCCAAACTTCACCAGAGGAAATTCTTCTTCGATAACTCCTCTTACAATATGCCAATATAGAGTTAGATGATATTTAAATCAAAAAATAAGGTAATGGTCTAAATAAATCTTACAACCATAAAACATTAGTTTATTAAACATGTCAATTTCTTTTATATATAAAAAAACCTACAGATAAAGTTCTGTGCTTAGACATAATAGATTGAGAAAGAAAGACGACAGGTCAAGGTGCATCTTTTGTTTTAAATTCATAAGATGTGGATATCACTGGCCACACCATTATTTACTGCCCATTCATAATTGCCGAGAGAGCAGTTAAGAGTCAAGAACTTTGCTGTCGGTCTGGAGTCACATGTAGACGAGACTGGGCAAGCATGGTGGCTCTCTTTCCGGAAGGAGATTAGTGAAACAGATAAGTTTGTCCCACAAGAGATAACATCATTAGAGTCTCAATTCTGGATTTTTATTAAATTCAAATTCCACCATCTGAATTTGAACCCGGGTCCCCCAAACCATTTCCTGGGACTCTGGAATAACAGTGTAGTGATAATAACATTAGGCCCTTGTCTCTCCTAATACACAGTATAGCACATGAACAACAACTTCAACTGCTTAAAACAAATATTAAGCAGTACACAAAATTACCTACTTTAAAATGCCATTTGGACCAGTGTAAACGTCAATCACATGAGGGCTCGATGGCAGCATAGTTATGACTCTATCAGCTCGCTCAGCTACTTCAGCAGGAGACTCCAGGATCTATGAAACAAAAAGGGGGCAAAAAAAAAAGTAAAGTATTCTCATAACATTTTAAAGGAACAAAATCAGACAAGTAAATGGCTTAAACTTGGGGACACCAGATAAAGAGTCAAGTATGAAGGAATATTTAGGTTTTGCACTTTGAGAATAACATGCCTTTTTCTTGGCAAGTAGAATATCAGTAATGGCATGACATTATTAAGGATATACAGGATAAACACATTGTAATGGTGTGTTTAACCTAAGTTAAGAAAACAAAGTGAATTTTGAAAATAAAAGGTGACATTTAATCTGCAGAGAGAATAAGGCTTCACAATGCAAGAACAGGAACATGCAAAAACATCAAAGCTGAATAAAAAGGAAAGCAAAAAGACTGTTTGGACCAACTGGGCTTGCCAACGTTTACATTCCACTCTGCCTCATCTAACCCTCAGTGTTAAATGACACAGAGATGCAAAGAGAGACATGGTCATGTAGATGTTACGAATGATTCAGAAGTCACAGTTGTACCTCTGACTGAGGCAGTCTTGGGTTCAAGTCAAATTCCAGAGACTTGAAACTTCAGCAGAAAATGTATGTTGCCATGCCACTCAGTGTAGTACTGCAATATCAGAGGCACTGTACTTTGGTTAAGATATTATATGAAGGATTCATCTACTCTTTCAGGGAGAAAGAAAAATTTTGATGACAGTATTTTTAATAAAAAATAGCTCCGGTGTCCTGACCAAATTTATCCAATAACCAGAATCGTGAAAACACGACAGCCGTGATGCTTTTGGACTTGTGTCAACCAACCTCTTGGTGCTGCCCAGAACTAC